ACGTCTTGTCTATTGTGAATAATGCTGCCAGGAGCACAGGGGTGAAGCCGTAGTGTTTCTCTTGCTTCTGGCCCCGTTTGAGTCCTTCTCACACCCCACTTACACTGGTTGTCATGCACCCCCTGTACCCCACTGCTGATTTACCCCCTCCCCCCTCTCCCTGAGTAATCTGTTTCAAGACTTTCTTCCTCTGGGCAGCTATTCAAACACCTGGTGATAAGGGCATCAGAAGCAGGTCTCCAGAGCCTGGGTGGAGATTCAGAAGGAATGGAGGTTGGAACCTTACCTTCGTTCTTCTGTAATTCTTTGACTATTTATCGAGCATTAGGCCTCATATAAGGTGCCGGAAGCAAGAGGTCCCCATCTAGTCTGGAGGCAGAAAAAGGAGCAGATAAGTGGAGCTGTGAGATACGAGCCATACAAGGATCTGTAGAAACAGAGAAGAAAACCGCGAGCTGCAGCCCAAGGGGTGGGAGTGATGGAGAAAGGACCATGGGGGTGTTGCAAGCAGGCAAGAGGGCACACACAAAGGTTCAGAGACCTGGAGGTTCACAGCATGGCTCTCTGGACACGCAGGGCTCTGCAGTCTAGGGACATGGGCTGGGACAAGAGAAGGGCAGCCAGGGGAGAGGAGGTGAGTCACATCGGGGTTTCTGTGCATGATTCTAAGGAGCTGAACTTGATCTTATGGGTCAGGTGAGTGGGAGCCAGATCTTAAGCTGGGGAATGACATGACTGGAAAGAGCATGCTGAGGGCAAAGGGGAGGAACAGTGGGAGAGGAAGAAAATGAGGGAGGGAGACATCCTGTAAGTGACAGGGTTGCAGCTGAGGCTCTGGCTGGGGACTGAGAAGGGATGATTCAGACTGAGGAGGAATGAGCGTCAGACCGGGAGAATGCTTGGAGAAGGAGGGAGCCGGGGCCGCTGGCTGGGCTCCCAGGGGATGTGGTGGCCATCATGGAGAGCTGGATGTGGGAGAAGAGTAGGCTCTGGTTGGGCTGCCTGGGTGTCAAGGGTGGGGTGGGTGGAGTATGTGAGGAATAAGGTCTAGACATGAGGGCGGAGAGGTTCCTGGAAGACAGTAAAGGCAAAATCCATGATGGGAGCTGAACAGTGGTCTGGTTCAAGGTTCTCTGACAGTCCAGGTGGAGGTGGGCCCAGATAGAATGTGCAGGTGGAGAACAAGAGCCCAGGCTGAGGAAGGAGCTCACGTTGGGCGGGATGGGATGAAGCATTCAGAGACAAATGGGGGAGATGGGTACCAGGCAGCCAGGGTCAGGGTGGAGAACCGTCCAACAAGAGTGTTCCAGAGACAGGCAGGATTAAGACCAGCTCCACCTCTTGGCTAGGACAGCAGTAGGTCCCTGTGATCCAAGGGAAGGAATCCATGTCAGGGTGTGTGTCGGACAGAGGCCCATGGAGGGATGGCTGGGACATAGGTAGGGAAGATGCAGTGGAGGTGGAGGCCAAGAGGACCCTTCCAGACCTGACAGTGAAGGAAAGAGATAAGGCTGGAGAGAGGTTCTGGGGTAGAGGGAGAGCAGGGTTTTGTTTTTAGCGACTAGAGGAGTTTGTCATCTGTAAGACGTGAGCAGACAGCGCAAGAAAAGTCCTGTGGCTGCGGCCCCCGCCGCTGGGCCCTGCGCTTTTCCTGAGACAGGCTTCCTGGCTCTGCAGGCATGAACCTCCCACGGGCATCTCCGGATCTGAAAATGCTCTTTAATAGCCCCTCCCTTCTGAAATGCAGACTAGTTTTTGGTTTTGTTCTGTTTTAATGAATTTACTGACTCATCCTCCAAACTGCCTCCTCTGACTGATTTCCACTGTCCCTGGCAACGGCGCCACCGTCCCCTTCGTGCCCAGGCTGAAGATCTGAATCATCCTCGATGGGGCCCTCACCCACCCCAACCTCCACTGGAGGCCAGGAGGGTAGAGCTCAGAGGTTAACGGGTTCAACCTGTGGCCTAGGGAGCCTTGCTGCTGTGTTCACGTCCAGATCCTGCTGTCTTCTAATTCTCTAGCTGTATGAGGTCATGTCACCTCTCTGTGTCTGCATTCTCACCCACAAAATTGATGTTTTATATACACATATACACACGGTATCTCTATATATATATGTCTATAAACACATATGTAATATAAGGAACCTATTCTGTCTTAAATAACATTATAGATTATACAACTTATATAATGGTATGTAGTATTCCATATATATTCTATATATGATATAAAATAAACAACCTATCTCATAAGGTTGTTGGAACATTAAATCAGTTAACATACAAGGGCTGAGGACAGAGCCTGGCATAATGTTAACTGTCATTCTCAGTGAACTAAAGTTGGCAAGTTCTCTAAAATTCTCTCCTTCTGCTCTTTAAGCCCTTAGCTTTTCCCAGTGTGTATTATTAAAATCACTTCCTAATTGGTCTCCTTGCCTTTGGTTCTTTTTTTCCCCCAGGGCATCTCGTATTGTCCCCAAAGGACAGTAGCATCAGGGAATTTTAGGCTCCCATTTGCTGGCAGAATAATAAAATTCAGTCTTTAGCTCAGCATTCAGCGATGTCTCGGTTTTGCTCCATTTTCCGTTTCCAGCTCGTTCACTGTGTCTGCCCTGCCCACGCCTGCTGCTCCAGCTGACGCTCAGCTGCTAGACTCCCGCTGACACTCAGCTGCTAGACTCCCGCGCAGTGCTTCTGGGCCCCTTGCCGTGGTGTTTATACCTCTCTCTTGCCTGCCTCTCCGTAGTGCGTGCTCCTCCCCCACTCCTCCAAACCCCACTCCTCCATAAAGTTTGTCTTGACCAACCCGGTTCCCAGCAATCTCTCCCGCCTCTGACCCCAGCCCCTCTTGTCTGGACCACTCACTCCCTGTTTCACGCTATTAGACAACGGGTCACACATGTGGTTTTGTCTGTCCAGCCCTAGTCCTGCGAACGCAAGGCAGGCTTCTTCTGACTTGTTTTCCTGACGGTACAGAACCGCATCCTCGGCACACGTTCAATTAGTATTTACCGATTGTGATGACATTGTGCCAGGATGCTGAAAAACATGGCTTCATGTTTATGAATCCTTTTATTCGTCAGTTATTACTGAGGTTCCACAGTGGACCAGCTACGGGACTAGGTGATGAACAAAATACAAATAGTCTCTGTCCTGGTGGAGCTTATGGGGTGAGGGATTCTCAGAATAAACCGATCAATAAAATGTTTCAAAGAGTGGTAAAGGACAGAAAAGAAATAAGAATCTTCATCACTGTTCTATGTATTTTATCTGCTCTATATGCGGGGCCAGTTACCTAACTGGCAGGGTGGGGGGTGTCCTAGTACAAAATGCAGATACAGAGCCCCTTGTTCAAAACTATATAAGGACTTCTAGACAATGACAGCGGAGTATTAGAGTAAGCTGACACAGTAAGTCCTTCTAGCCAGCTCTGCCTGTGCGGAACTTAGCTTTAAGTCGGGTGCTTTAATGAGACAGAGCATAATCAGAGACACGATCTGAGGTGTGAAATCCAGCCCAGTATACTTACTTACGGAAAACCCCCTCAGCTACGTGGTGGCCTTATGTGACTCTAACACAAAGTCCTCCGTGGTGTTTCTTGCCTCTCAGATTGCTTGTCTTACTCGGCTTTGCAAGTCTTATCCAGGAGGTGCTACGGGAAACAGAGATGCAGAATCCTTGTCAACAATCACCATTTCAGGAGCCCCTGTCTGCCGGGAGTGAAAAAATACCTCACCGTCACCTACGCTTGCGGTAAGAACGCACCCTCCCTACTTGGTAACGGGGCGAGTGGCATTCCGCCACCCAAGGCTGAGCGGTACCAGGTCCGGGGCTGCCCACGGGCTACGCTGGCTGGCTCGGCGTGTGCCTGCCCTGCGCCGGCAGGCGCGGGTAACCCCTCGAGCCGCTTTCGTGATGGGGATCAGGGATTTCAGTTGTTCCCCATGAACGAAGAATTCCCAGTAAGTGTGGGCCATAAGCTTGCGTCGCTTAAGTCCCTGTGCTTTGTACACACCGCCCGTCACTAGTACAATTGGATGGTTTAGTGAAGCCCTCGGTTCGCCCTGCGGGGAAGAGGGTGGGGAGGAGAAAAACACCCTCCACGAGCTGCTTCAGGACCTGGCCTCTTAGGAAGGCAGTGATCACATGAACAGAAGGTGTTTTCCAGCAACAAGCCATTGCACCCACTCCACCCCGGAAACCATGTTGTCCTCCATATTTAAGAGCCCTTCCTCCAATGCTTTATTCTTCTTTACAACATTCATGTCAGATAAGCAATAGAATTTCCTCTGGTCAAAACTGGTTTTAAAAGCGCTTTTAGCAATCAGATTGGCAGCAAGCAGGGAGGGTAGGAAAAAACAGCAAATGGGATCAAATCCATGTCCCTGAGAAGAAGGATTTTAATCTGGGTTCTTAGGAGGCTGTAAGATTTATGGGTGTGCAATTTATGTGATGCAAGTTCACTGAGTATTGTTTGGCTGCAAGCTAAGTTTTCAGTCCTGTGTTTAGGCCCTAACATGACTAATTCTCTATGCTGCCAAGAGCCGTTTCATCTACAGACCCCCAGGGTCGAGCCAGCAGGTCAGATGCTTACCTACAACCATTAAATATGGCACGTGATGGCATAACCCTGTTCTCCCAGTATCTTCAAATAATAAAATGGAATTCCCGGTTCATCTGATTCCAATTTTATGAAGCTACCTTTAAAAAAATCAGGTATTAATTACTCTCTCAGGGTGCTGTGGATTTCTGGTTGGTGATCCTGACATGTAGACTGGTCTTTGTTTTTTTTAAATAAGTGTAGAAGCAAAGGGAGAGCCAAGGGCGTCATAAGAAGAACCTGACGCCTGTGCAAACCAAAGTGGCAGAGAGGAGAGGAGTGGGTGAGGAGGCAGGTAGCGTGGGGTGATACAGGAGGGCCAGGACTGGATCCGGCGGGGTCCTGGGAGGAGATGCTAGCGCAGGGTTTAAGTCGGGGGGTCACTCGGTAATGCTGATCGGACCCTTATTGAAAGGCCGCTTGGCCGTAGGGTGGAGGATGGGCTGGAGTCGGTGGAAGCGGAGACCAGTCAGACAGCAGCAGGCAGTGACTCAGACCGGAACGGTGCTGGAGGACGTGGTAAAAACTGGGTGGATTTGAGAGGCTTGGGGAAGTAGGAAGACATTCAAGATGCTAAAGACATCTGGCCAGTTGTACAGATTGGGGTCCAAAGAAGGTGACAAGGGCAGGAAGGGTGTGTCCCTTGTCATAACAGGGGGAAGAGGCTCTGGGAATGGGTGGAGGGAGGGCTTCGTGTTTCTATTGCAAGATCCTCAAAATAAGTGTGAGATGAGGTCACCAGCGCTGAGAACGGGGGAGCGGGAGGGGTTTGAGGAGATGAGAGAAGACAGGAAGTAGGGGCTGTGAGGGCCAGAGGGCAGACTGTCTTCAGAAAGGTCAGCAGCAACGGCGCTGAGAGTGTTGAGGGCCTGGGGGAGCTTAGCGGTCAAAATGCTCCCAGACCCTGGTCTGCCTGGCCGTGCTCCCTCCTTCAGGCCAGCTGCTCGAGATCCGGCCTGGAGAAGAGGGCCCCTCCAGGCTCACTGGTCAGCATGGGAGGGTCTGGATGATGGTGGAAGATTGCAGAGGGAGGGAGTCCCCTTAGGACAGGAGGCTGAGGTCAAAGACGGGACTTTGCATCTTGGTTTAAGATGTGGAACCATGAACAGTGCCCCTTTGTCATGGACCATCGCTGTGGTCCCCCAGGAGTTATTCCAAAGGGAGAGAGTGACTCTCACTAGGAGGTGACTTAGTGTCCAAACAGACTCCTAATCACCTTCTAAGTGTTTGACATTTTACAAATATTTCTCCCCTGACAGATGGCTCTTCACTGTGAAACCGGAATCATTAACAGAGGATTTGCAATGTCTGCATTATCTTTTAGATCACCAAATGGGCATGAAAGATTTTATACTTAAAAAAATTATTTCAGTTAATGTGGAAGTTGATACAAAAACAGAGGATGTCAGGAATTAATTTCTAAGCGAATCTGTCTTACTTGAGACTCTTTGGATACAAGTGAAGAAACCAGTTTTAGCTGGTTTAAGCCAAAAGGTAATTCAGAGGCAGCCTAAGACCATCTTCAGAAGCTAGCGCAGGAAAACAAGGTCTCAGGGTGGGGCTGAAGCCAGAAACTCCAAGGGGGTGGCAGCCATCCCTCGCGTCTCTCTTCTCTGCTTCCTAGTCCTCTCTCTCTGTCTCTCTCCGTCTCTGTCTCTGTCTCTCTCCTTCCCCTGCAGACCGCCTTCCGCTGAGCCTGGGCTGGATGGCATACCGCTGTCTGCACAGCCTGAGTGATTCCTATGTCAGATTTTTATGTTCTAACAATATGAAGACTGGCAGTCTGGCAACCTTAATCCCAAATTTCTAACAGAAATATATTTAATTGGCTGAGCCGGGGTCAGGTAGCCCCCGCTGTGATCCACCTAGATCAGGGACTACATGATGTGATTATGAACATGGCTGTCAGAGAGGGGCCCAGGCAGCCCCCATCCCAAGTCAGGATGCTCTACACAAAAGGTTCAGGGAAGATCCACCCCAAATAGAAATCTCTTCCAATGCCCTGCTTCTAAATGCAGTGTCCATCCAGGCTTTGCTGTCCTGCCCAGCAATCCTGGGTGCCTAGCCAGGAGACACCTCACCCCTTGGGTAGGGGGAGGGTGCATCAGTGGGCACTAGGGTTCCTGCCCTCATGGGCTGTAGGATCGAATGTGAATTCCAGGCCCTGGTGACTTGGGAGACCAGGAGGGCTTCCTAGGGGAGGTGCCGCCTGAGGGAAATGAGACCGGATGTGTAGGAGTCAGCAAGGTGAAGGGCAGGTGGAGGCTGGGAGGTAAGCGCAGGAGCAGGACTGGACGGACCTTGTGGGATGGGAGATTAAAGCTTGGCTGGTGCATAAGGACAGCGAGGAGCCATTGGAGGGTTTTCTCAGGGGACAGAAGCAATTCCCATTTTGTAGGAACATTCTTCCCTATTTTATAGCTTCTTTTAATCCTACCTCTCCCTACCACACAGCTTTTAGGCTGGACGGAGAATTTCAGCATCTTTGTGTGCTCTCAGGGAATGTTTCGAGCTGTGGGCCTTTTGCTTTTAGAGCTGTAGGCAGGGTATCTGCATGTGGCCAAAGTCAAACCACTGGGAGCGCAGAGCACTTGGTCATTGACTGGTCAGGGAGCTGCCTCGCTCCAGCACTCTTCTTTAATGCATGGCTAGATAAGGTTTTCTCTCTCAGTTTTTAATCCAAGTTTTATTATTAGCCATACTTCTTCGACAGGATAGATTTTAGACTTACCTCCTAATAGGAGGAGGCAGACCTGGAGAACTTGGCCAGCTCTCCCCCTCACCTCTGCAGGGAGGGCTTCTCCCCAGGAGCCACGGCCACTGGTCCCTGAGGGTCACCAAGACAGAGGCACAGCTTCTGACAGTTCCTGAGAGGGACAGGAAACGTGTGGATCTCAGCCTGGGGCCCACAGCTCCTCCCAGGAGATGGGCAGGCAGATGGATGCCAGGATTTGGGAGCAGGAGGGATGCTGGTAACAGAATCTGGGGGTAAAAGTGATGGGTGCCAGGATTTGGAGACAAGAAGGATGGTGGTACCTGGATTTGGGTACCTCTTCGCCCTAGGTGCTGGGATAGCGGGACATGAGGGCTGAGTGCGTCAGGATTTGGGGACAGGTAGAATAGGAGGTGCAAGCACTGGGGGTGGAGGAATACGTGGTGCAGGTTTGGGACAGGCAGGATGGAGGGGTGACAGGATTCGGAGGTGCTCGGGCAATCTGGGTACCTATTGAGGGGAATAGTAAAGCTGAGATCTTTTTTTGTCCCAGATATGAAAAATTATTTTGGGCCCTAAGTTCAACCTGTGGAGGCTTCTTTCTTGGATTTTTTTTTTTTTTTGGTGGAGGTACCAGGGATTGAACCCAGAACCTCGTGCCTGCTAAGCATGCACTCTGCTACTGAGCTATACCCTCCCGCTGAGGTTTCTTTCTTCAAGTCTGCCCTCATCCAAGCTTGATACAGATTTATTCAGAAAAAAAAAATTCTGGAAGGGGCCCTGCCTAAATTTAGTGAGCCATTCAAGCCCATTTGAATCTCTGGTCATCTCTGGTTTCACCTAACAGACTTGAGAGGGACTGTCTGGTTGGGAATCACTTTGCCACCTTTATAATCCTTTAAAATTATCCTCTGTCCAGTTCCCAGGGGCTGAGCGTCCCACGGACAGCACAGCATCACAGAAAAGAGCCAGGGCACACGTGAGCGAGACCAGGAGTTGAAGCTTTGCCTTTTACCTTTGTAGCTGGTCCCTCTCTGAGCCTTAGTTTTCCCACCTGCAGGAATGGGAATGATACGCATCTTCATGGGGTCACTATGAGGACTACGCAAGAGGCACCCTCTAAACACACTTTAAAAGCACAGGGTTGGCATGTGGCAGGCAGTCTGTGGGAAATGGTTTGCTCGTGTCCTCACAAACGGACTCAGGTGGAGAGGGGTGGGCTTGAGAGGCAGTAATAGATCACACCCAGTCCCCGGCTTCATTCTGAATCACATTGAAACAGCAGCTACGAGAATCTGACAGGTGTGTTGACGCCTGTTGTGATTTCAAAGGTCCTGAAAGATTCTCCCTCTACTAGAGCCATTTTCACGTAGTAAATGGGCAAGTTCCCTGACACGAGCCTGTGTCGTACACGGGCAATTTAATGTTTTATTCTGCCAAGTTCATCCTGCAATGCCCTTCCTCTCTGAGCAATTCCTCTTTATCGCGCTGTCAAGCCTCCGGCATTTGCCAACAGCCCAGCTCTCCTTGGGCCGTATCTTGAGAACAAGCCAAGAGATGGACGTGAGACAGAAGTGCCCCTCCTGGCAGAGAGGACTTACTCCTGCTGGGGAACCAAGGGAGTCCTTCTCAGGGTGCAGAAGTGATGGAGAGGCTGTCTCATCAGAAAGCATCCTGGGCCCCACGGCTCAGCTCTCTGGGGCACTGCCGGTGTCCCAGGATCAGCAGGTCCCAGAGGGCATTCCTGGGGGGCCCTGGACAGCTTCTGCTGCCTCCACCACCGTCACCAGGCGGCCCTGGAAAGTGACCTCCGCTGCTGAGGACCACAAAGGCGCCAGGGCCTCCTGCATGGGGAAAATTCACAATTTAGGAATGTCCTCTTGGTTGCTGATCCTGGGACATCCCCAAAAGTCTTCAGTGAAGCACTATGAGAAAGGAAATTAGGTTTTCTTGCCGCCGAAGATGTCTTAGCAGCTCTGTTTCAAAAATCAGTACCCTTGAACTTGCAGGGTTTGTATTGGCTTCACTTCTATTTCCTGTTGCCACTTCTCCCAGATACCAGCTGAGCTAAAGAACAAACAAAAATAAGCAGTTTTCTGCAGCAAAAACATTTGGTTTCCTCTCCCTCCTCCCAGCCGGCTGCAGGGCACTGGGTCTTCAGAATTCTCGCTTTTCCCCCCATTAGGCTCCTGCTCCCATCTTGTCTGCTTTGCCTGGGATGGTGGTGGTGGTGGGGTCTTTGAGATCCTGATGGTTTATTCTTAAGGTCAGTTCAGTAGAACCTTTAACCACCTTCCAAAAGAGTCTGTTACACCGCCCTCCCTCCTCATCTGTCCGATGTTTTGTTTTGTTTTGTTTAATAGTACTGAGAGGTTCATTCTAGCACGGAGCCCTAGAGTTCTCTGCAGGCTTATTATAGAAGCAATGAGTTAGAGCGCTGTGGACAGAAAGCAGAGCTGCAGCTGGGAGAGGTCAGAGGTGGGTTTTGAGGGGGTTGCACTCACTTGGTTTCACTATATCTCAGAGAAGTTCGTGTTCAAAGTCAACAGCATTATTGCGGTGTGATTTACATACCTTAAAATTCTCCCGTTTTCAGTAAAAACAATTCAGTGATTTCTGGTACACTGAGAGAGCCCCCCAGCTCCGCACCACACTCCAGTGTTAAAGCATTTCCATGATCCCCCAAAGTCCCCTCCTGCCAGTTTGCAGTCAGTCCCCATTCCCATCCCTGTCCTCGGTAACCACTCATTTACTTTCTGTCTCTGTAAATTTACCTCTTCTGGAGATTTCATATGAATGGAATCGTACCATAGATGGTCTTTTGTGCCTGGCTGCCTTCCCGCAGTGTAATGTTTTTGAGGGGCATCCATGTTGTAGTGTGTACTAGCACAGTCCGCCCTCCGTGCCTGCGGGTCCCGCATCCATGGATTCAACCCGCCATGCGTTGAAAATATTTAAAAAAAAATTCCAGAAAATTCAAAAAAGCAAAACTTGAATTTGCCGCACACTGACAACTATTTACACAGCATTTACATTGTATTAGGTATTATCAGTAATCTAGAGATGAATTAAAGCATACCAGAGGATGTGCGTAGGTTATATGCAAGTCATACGTCATTTTATATGAGGGACTCAAGCATCCATGGATTTTAATATCCCCAGGGGTTCTGGAATCAGTCCCCCGAGGATCCCGGGGGATGGTTGTACTTCATTCCTTCTTATTGCTAAATATTATTCTGTTGCATAGATCTACCATATCTTGTTTATTTGTCCTCATTTTGGTTTTCTAATACTGCAAGAGAGGCCTAAAACTTAACCCTTCTGGAACATTTGATGATCACGTGGGTACCGCTGGTGTCTGTGTATGAGTGAATCTGACAAGCAGAGTGAGCGATTTATGCACTGATTTGAAAACTGATTTCTTTTAATCTTATCTGCATTGCATTTTAAAGATACATTAAGCATACAAAGTCTTAACAGCATTTCTTTCTGGTTTTTAGTCCCCAAGAACATACTCTCAGCGATTGATCCGGCCGTTGCCAATCTAAAACCGACTTTGAAGCAGAACGATGGTGAATATGGTAAGTTTTATGGCGTACTCCCAGCATTTCCCTTTAAGTAGAGGTAAACAGCCCATGTGAGCGCAGGTGGGTGCACACGGGCTGGGATGGAAGGGGACATCAGGAGGTGTGGGAGCTGCCAGCACCGAGGGTGGTGGTGCTGTGGCAGATGGTTGCAGATGGCGGTCGACATTTCGTTTCGTGTTTTAAATGATAAGTGGGACAAATCCTCCTTCCACTCCCTCTCTTGTTTCCTAAAAGAAAAAGAGAGATCTGCTCAGAAATAAATCTGGGGTTCCTGGATCATATGATGGAAACATAGTCCCACTGTGGACCTGAGTGGGCCAGACCCAGGCTGGACCCACGGGCCTCCATCTTACATACATATCACCATCTTCCTGAGGTTTTCACCGGACTTGTGTAAATAAGTGGATGACCATTTTGGTGTTCTTATCAAATCTAGAGTGGAGTTCAGACCCTTGGGGCTCCTGATAGGAACTACAGAGGCCTTCAAGACATTCTACCTAAGAGATTGTGCATTGCGGGTTGAGAGTTGATCTGGTGTTAGTTTAATTATATTTATGAGGTCTCGTCCCACTAAGTAGAAAAGTGTGCTTGATGTGGAACATGGAGGAAAGCCCCAGGAAACAACTCTCCCCTAGTCTCAAAGCTTAGGGATAGGGGAGTGGGTATAGCTCAGTGGTAGAGCACATGCTTAGCATGCACAAGGTCCTGGGTTCAATCCCCAGTACCTCCATTAAAAAAAAGTTTAAATAAATAAACCTAATTCCCCCCCCCAAAATAAAACTTTAGAACAAGCTTAAAGATAACCACTATTAATATCCTACACTCTCCTCATGGTGCTCCTCCAGCTCTCCCCCAGGCTCTGCATCTCCCAGCCCCACTGCTCCTTTTAACAGGGCTCCCGCCTTGATCCTATGAATATCCCCGACCCTCTGCCTGGAGGCCTGAGAGCCCTGACATTCCCAGGGGTCCGCAGAGCCCCATCATGGCAGCTTAACCAGGCAACTGAAACCAGATCTGCCCTGCATTTTGCTGTCATTTCCAAAAATGTAGCCCAACAGAGCCTCCCTGCATAATCCAAGGCCTTCTTACCTGTGGTCAGCAGAGCAGGCGGCAGCTCTGCGGTTAAGCAGGACACTGTTAAATCTCCCAGAGGCATGATGACTGCCATTGCCTTTAGGATGGGAGAACAAATGTGCTCCCTTCTGCAGTAGAGAAGGTAAATGGTACCTGAAGTTGGAACCAACACATTTTAGAATTTCTAAATCTCTTTTATCACTTGATATTGTAAGAGACTACTTACCAAATGCTCTTCCTGGCTTAGTCCTCTGTAATTTAGTTAGAAGCCCACTTATTGGATTTCTATGACTTTTTATTTGTGTCACAGTCCTGGGTTAGGAACAAAATGCATACTGTGAACAGCTGGAGTTAATCAGTCTTGCATTTTTTTGTGTGTGAAACAGGTATAAACTTTGACCCAAGTGAACCGAGGGTTCTGAGGAAGGATGGAGTTATTGTCAGCCACTCCCTGGCGGCATTTGCCTACATTAGAGGTAGGTCAGTGAACTGAACCTTCCTAGATGCTCATGGATTTGCTGAAGTCTTCACACAAATGCTCTGTTTAGTTATAGCACTTGGATAGCTAAAGAAAAATGGCTTTGAGTTTGACACAGCAGCTGCTGCCTTCTACAATCCAGAACACAGAGGCCCCTGAATTCAGGCACAGTTCCCACAGGGCGACCAACAAGAGAACCACATAGGAAGGTAGCAGACGCGAAAGTCTCGCGACGTAGGAGCTGGGCTGCCTGGGAATTTTCTGCTTTGCAGAGTAGGAACCAGAGGAATGCACTTTCCAGCTCTAAAATTTGGGAAGGGCATCGGATTATTGAATTCCACCCTTGGCTGGAAGAAAATTGAGCCAAAAGCTGACTTAGTGAATAAAACAGGTCATGCCCTGCGAAGGCAGAGCCCCTTTCTGAGTCACCGATGTTACGTCTGTCGGTTGCCAAGGTTTCCCTTGATAATCTTCGCCTCGAGGATCAATCAGACTCGGCCCTCCTTAAGTAGGGGAGCCAAGATTGCTCGTCAGCGAGCAGGGTGCCTGCCGTCCCTCCTCACCAGCCTCTCCGCTCACCTCTGGACAGACTGTATTTTGGAATGTCGCCTCTGCAAGTTTCGGCAATGCCTGCCTGGCTCTGCTCAGGGAGCCAAAAGCTCTGAGGCCTTTTGTCAAATACATGGTAATATGATGCATGGCAGCATTCCTTACTCAAGGCTTGCCGGCGCGGGGCTGTTTGGGGTGAGCCTTCCTCAGAGGAAAATAAAGGCCTGAGGAAACATCTCAGCACAGGAGGTGGAACAGTGTTGGGGTCCTCTGCCAGCATCCCTCCTGTGTGGCTGTGGTGTGGTTGCTGAGAATCTTCTCTGAGAATCTTCTCTTTTCTAACCACCTTCCCATTTCCATTTCTTGCTGCTTCCAATAATTATCGAAGTTAAGAGATGTAACAATTTTTATTGTTGAAAGCATCCCTGTATTTCCAAAGTGCCTGGAGAGCCCCTTGGGGAAAGACACCATGAGAACACCGCACACAGGGCACAATGAGGAGGCTGCTTACTGTGCTGCGGCCGTTCCGGGCCACGTCAGCTCCCCTCAACTACCGCCCTGGTCAGCTCAGGCGGCCATAACAAGATACCATGGATTGAGCGGCTTAAACAACAGAAATTAATTTTCTTCTAGGCTGGAAAGCCATGATCAAGGTGCCAGTGGGTTTGGTTTCTAGTGAGAGCTCTCTTCACGGCTGGTAGACCTGAGTCATCACACAGCAGGGTGGGCAAGAGAGAAAGAGAGTTCTTGGTGTCTCTTCTTGTAAGGACACTAATCCTATTGGATCAGGGCCCCACCTGTATGTCCCCATTTAACCTTAATTACATCCTTATAGGTTCTGTCTCCACATACAGTCACATTGTGGGTAAAGGCTTCAACACATGAGTTTGGGGAGACACAGTTCAGACCATAGCAATGATTGTGAGAGAGGGACTGGGATCCCTTATTCTGCACACAGGGAAGCCAAGGCTCAGAGGAGCTGAGCTATTTGCTTGAAGACACCGAGTGGCCAGTGGCAAGGCAGGGTTCAGACTCAGCTTCTCCAAGAGAGGATACCCTGCAGAATTCTGAGGGACTGAAACCTCATGAGCTGGAGTGATCCCAATTAACTTCCCTCCATCCCTATCTGTCCTTCTACATGCTCATCACTCCCAGAAGTCGCTGGAGAGATTTATTGGTTAAGTGCCCATGTCTCCGCTAGACATTAAGCGTCTCAAGGGCAGGTGTTTGTCATCTTAGTCGTTGTCATTTCCCGGTGCCTGGGACAGAGCTGGCACAGAGTAGATGCACAGTAAGGACTTACTAAGTGCCTGGATGGTGAATCCTCGTCTGGTGTCATGAGCCATCCTGCAGCTGATTGTCACCCCATATTTGCTATTTATAGGTATTCAATTTTAAAGAAATAAAAGGACTCAATGGGTTATTTGGTTTTATTGAGGGATGTTTAGGCACATTCATCTCAGCAAGGCACGACCAAGCCTGAATTTCACGTCAAAGGAAAGAGGCTCTGAACACACTGTCAGGTATTAGTGAAATGAAGTCACTACTAGAAGTGGGTGGTCACTCTGGATGTGGTCCCCAGCCCACCGCCTCCTCCTCTCCCAGCAGGTCAGCCCACTGCAGTGAAGGGCAGGATGCCAGGCTGAGCCATCTCAACACGAGCACCACCCTCATGGTCGCTAGAAAGCATCGCCCCAGCCAACTCTCAGACGCATCCTCGTCCCCATGTAGGGATGTGATCTGAAGACCGGACTGGGGTCCCTGGGCACCCACCCAGGGGAGGAGGCCTTCCTACAGGAGAGGCCTCGGCCGGAGCAGTCAAAAGTGAGCTGGGAAGATTCTGGCAAAATCAGCCAAATAAACAGTAGATTGAGCGAATCCAAAAGGGTGTTTCCCCAGGTCAGGCTGCAGGTAGCTTTGCTGCATTAGTGCAGCCAGGTGCACATAGGGGACAAGAAGACTAGAAACCAGAGCTGAGGGGCTTGTCCCAGGAAGGCGAGACACAGAGGCTGGCAGAACAGACACGAAAATGTCCAAGGGTCCTGGATAAATGATTTCTCTTTGGGCCATTTAAGTGGTCTGTGAAATGTCTTCTTAGGAGCTTTTGAATGTACCCTCCTGTCAATAATAGAGACCCACTCCTTGAATTCATTCTTGAATTTAGATCATGGTCTGAAGCTCATAGAAGATTTCTGAAATTAGGGAAATGGAAAGGAGCATGCATGCGTACGTGTGTGTGTGTGTGTGTGTGTGTGTGCGCGCTGGAGGCTTGGGGAAGGCAGTTTGTTAGCTGCTCAGACATCACACCCCTGCAGATTGTGCAGAAGGAGACTTCTGTAGATGGACTTGCTCAGGACTTGATGTCTTCCATCCCACCTAGCTGGTGTGTCACTGCGTGCCCCCGTGGCCTAATGTTTCTGTCCCTGCCTTGGGCTGGGGCTGTGTGTGTCTTCAGCCTCCAGCAGAGCTCACTGTGGACTCCCAGGGTGCACGGGTGAGAAAGCAGCACGTCTCCTGAGTTGGGAAGGTATCATTGTTCCAGATGAAAGGGACTCCGGGATATCAGACAAACCCACATCGAAATAGAAGCATAATAACACGTTCCAAAGTTGGAGTTACATGATCCCCCCCTGTCAGGGAGGACGACTGGAAATCAGCATCACCTTGTCACATAGGTGTGGACACTGAAGTGTTCCCACGGCCTCCAATCTTGGCTTCCACGACAGAAAGTTATTATCACATCCCTGAGTGCTGTCAGACCAGGCCCCGAACGTTTCGTGCTTTCACCCGACGGTAGCAGGGCCCCACGGGTGGAACCCTCGCCCTGGCCTCTCGGTGGCTTGTAAGTTTGAGCTGGAGCTTGTGTTGGCTCCCGATCTGAGGGTCCAGGCGCCTTAGAGGCCACGGGCCGCCACCGGGAGAGTCCCGAGGGCTTGCTGCCGCTGATGTATGCACAGCATTCACGTGAGCCTGGAATGAACCGAGGCTAAAACGAGACTCATACCGACAGGAGCACAGTGTGAAGATTCTGTTTAATAAGGAGACTAATGCCTTTATTTTTCTAGAGTCTGTACTAGGAAAAGAGGTCACAAAAGCCTAAAGTGGTCCAATTATTGCCCTTAGTGTAAAGCCTGGGGCCGTGGAGGGAGCGCTGGCCCGAGCTTGGGGTTCCAGCCAAGTGGCGGCTTTGGACACAAAAAGGGGCTGAAACAGGAGGAGCTGGGCCAGCTCCCTGCCAGGGCTCCATCTGAGCAACATCTGGTGGTTCTGCGACTTCAAACTAGGCGGTTCAGGTGACTCGGAAGCCTCGTTTCCAATGGGCTTGCTAAGATTGCCGTGTTCTCCATCTTCGATGGCAGGATCTCAGCAGACTTGTTGTAAACGTGGCCTGGAGACTGATCACTGGGCAGGAAGCTTACCTGAGCCAAGAGACACCGAGGATCTGATGGTTGAGAAGCTCTCCTGGAAATAGAATTCAGACCCTTACTCTCTAGGAACAGAGGGAGAGGAAGAAAGGCAGCTAACACGATGGAGCCCCCCCAACAGGGCTCCAAGCCTAGTGCTGTAGACCTAGGACCCCTCCCATCGCGCACCCAGTGGATGACTGTGTCACCCCTGCTATGCACCAGACACTGGGGATTTGGTGAAGAACAAGGCAGTTTGGCCCCAGCTTTCATGGAACTTGCCTTCTATGGGGCAATAAAGGACAAACACAGCAACAGAGTGATATTCGAGAGGCTATGAGACCTAATGACTGGGGACCTGGTCCAGACTGGGGCTGGGGACACAGAGGGCTGGATGAAAAGGGGAGAGAGAACATTCCAGGCAGAAGGAACAGCACGTGCAAAAGCACAAACGTGCGAACCTCTCTGGCCCCCGTGAGGGCTGGAGAGAGGCCGGTGGGCAGGAAATCAGAGAGCAGAGGATGGGTCTTTGGATTTGAACTTGGAGAGGGTGTTTGAATAGGCCAGGCCCTAGCAAGCATCATCGGCGGTGGTCAGGATTCTATTTTTTCTTATGGAAGGAAGGGGACCATTTATAGGTTTTAAGTAGGGCAGTAATGCGATCTGCTGTGCATTTTTTAAAAAGATTACAATGGCTACAGTGGGAAAGATGGATGAGAGGGGAAGAGAGGAGAGAGGGGATCAACTGGAGGCAGGGAAGAAGTCTTATCATTCCTGTTTTCCAGATAAATTCACTAGCTCCAAGGACACCTTCAGGAGCATGAAAATGCAAGCCAGTCACCAGGAGATATTCACAGTATATGTGCTGTCAAATGATTATTATCAAGAATATATAGAAACTTGTCCTCTGTAACTACTGTATATAAAATAACAAGTTTTTACTGTATAGCCCAGGGAGCTATGTTCAATCTCTTATAGTAACCCATAATGAAAAAGAATATGAAAACGAATATATGTGTGTACATGTATGACTGAAACATTATGCTGCACACCAGAAATTGACACAACATTGTAAATGGACTATATGTCAATAAAAAAAGAATATATAGGAACTATATACATTCTTTTTTCTGATTTTTTAAGTGTGCAGGGTTTTTTTTAACTGAAGTATAGCTGATTTACAATGTTGTGTTAGTTTCTGGTGTATAGCATATTGATTCAATACTTATATACATATATACATACATATATTCTTTATATGTAAGAGGGAAAGCACAAAAAACCCAGTTTAAAAAGTGGGACCATGACATGAGGCAGCATTTTGAGAAGAGGGAATGGGTGAGCATCTGAAGAGATGTACGCATAACTGGGGATCAGGGAAATACAAATCAAGCCATAGGGAAATGCAGTTTGGTTCCCATGTGGTGGGGAACAAACAAGAAGCCTGTCCGTAGCCGGTGCCGGAGAAGCTGAGGATTCCCAGGATTCGTCACTCGGTGCAACCACTTTGGAAACCAGTTTGGCAGTATTTCCCCAAATGGACATACCTTACAGCTCATCCAAATCCCTCCCAGGGCAGGACCCGAGAGAAACCCTTGCCCTTGTCCACCAGCTACAGTTACAGGAATGAGCACGGCTACAAAAGAGCAGAAACCCCGCAGCAACCCAGATGCCCACCAGCAGGCGAGTGAGTGAATAAACTATGGTCAAGACAACGGAATAGCATGCGGCAATATGACGTTAAGTAAAAAACAAAACAAATGCCAAGCGCCAAACTGTATCTGTAATGTTACACCCTCTTCATAAAGTTTTTAGGAATACACAGAGATGCAATAAACTATATAAAAGGGCAAGCAGGGAAGGAATGACCGTGGAATTCAGGTGTTGGTTACCTTGATGGGGGAGGTGGGGCAGGGGAGAGGGGAACCCACAGGGTAGACACAAGTATTGTCAAGGCCCGAGCTCCCATTTTGTGGGGGGGGGGGCTTATTCACAGAGCAGGTACTGATTACAGAATTTCAAGTAATTAATCAAATAAATAAACATAAAGGAAGGCCATGCATTGACTGATAAAGGGAACATGTTGCATCCTGGGAATTATGATTCTTTTGATTCCGTCTACCTGGAGAACTTAAGAAGAAATAGGGATAGGAAGGGAGAGAGAGGGAGAGAGAGAAGGACAGTAACTAGCCCACAGTTACCCACCTGTCTGGGGGTGGAGCGAGACCTTGGCCCCTCCTCTGTATTGGCCTGAGCACCTCGTTTGCCTGTGACACCACCGCTGGGAATGATGGCTTCTGGGACGAGGAGAGGAGAGGACTGTGGGTGATCATTGCTTCCCAGAAGCTTGACCAGCACAGGATTCTTTCTGCCTGGAGCTGACCTTTTCCTCAACTGGGATGTCTGGAAAAGGTTACAAAAGGGTGGGACTCAGTTTCCCCATCCACAGCACTCCTTACAGGCACTGCAAGAAATGATGGCCCCAAGCATGCTGGGATGAGGTTCAAGGCTTATGCTTTCCCAGGAGAAGGAGGGGATGAATTGTGGCTGCGTTGATAGCCGACGTCAGAGTAGCATGAGAACAGAAGGGACTGGGGGGGACAGTGGCTGGGAGGCTTGGGTGGGTGGGGGTAGAACGCAGCAAGACAGGACAGGAGAAGGATGGAAAGGAAAAGGAAGGTGAGAGTGAGGTCGAGAGTGAGGAGTCCACTCCTGGCAGAGGCTTTGATGTGCAGGGGAGAAGGAGAAAGGATTTACCCCATCAGGTCAGGGCCTCGGGTCTTAGCATCATTTTGTGTATTATGGTTTAATGACTATGTCCCAAATGCCAGTGTCTCCCAACCCCCATTCTACCACCACTCCCAGAAATGAACATAGCACAAAGGATATGTGTCTGTATTTGACCACATCTTCAAAATATCATGACCGTTAGGAAAAAATACATTGTTGTTAACAGCACTACAGACGCAGCTCACTGCCCTTCCCCCAGCCAAAATCAATTTTGAGTTTAGACTTCTATGTCTTAAAGGGAGTGATGAGATTGTGCTTGTAGGGCCAATGGCAGCAAAGGACATTTGAGTCCAGTGACTCTGCCAGTGACTTGAGCTGTGAGTGAAGGAAGCCGAATGGGGAAGTTTCAAGTTTCAAGAAGATAACGTGTCCCACTTAGATCTCTCCCGTCAGATCACGGCGGCTGGATCCCTTGATGGGAAACTTAACAACCCTCGAGTTCTGAACCTCCAGTCTGCACCTCTGGGGAAGGACAGACGCAGCAGCAAAGATAGCAGTCTGCAGTATTCGAGTGTAGTGAGACGGGAGGCTGTGTGCCTGGAGGAGGATGGTTGTGTTGAGAAGTTGGAGCAAATGCCAGTGGTTCTCCGTGCACGTTAGCAGCTTGAATCTCTGGACCTGGGTTCCCATCCTGGCGCCACCTAAAGAGGCCGACTGAGCTGGACAGTAGCTCCCCTTCTGGGCCTCAGCTTGAGCCTCTATATCAGGGATCCACAAAGTATGGCCCCCTGGCTGATTTTGTAAATAAAATTTTATTAGAACACTGCCACACCTGTATCATCTGTGGCTGCTTTCGTGTTACAACAGCACAGTTGAATAGTCTTCAACACACATTGTGTGGCCCACAGAGCCTTAAAATATGTATTATCTGATCCTTTACAGGAAAAATCTGTCAACTCCTGATCTACATTATGAGGGCATTAGCTGGAGCATTACTTCTAAAATGGGGGTGTAGCCCACAAGGGTACACAGCTGAAGAGTTATAGTCCTTTCCACATCGGGTTAATGTAATGATTAGCCATACGCAAGGCTTTAGACCAGATTCCATAGTACAAATTAGCATTAGTTCTATTTCTATTATTATTATACAATGATTTGGATGTAGAAAGAACTACCAGAACCTGTATCTATATTTATTTTTTAATCTAAAAGAAATTACGCTTTGTAACATTTACTATATTAGTTCTTACATTTGTATGTATACTTTACATATAAATTAATTTTTCAAAATTTACTACTGTTAATAATAGCTAACAGTTTATTGAACATATACTATGTGTCACTGAGTGCTCTGAGAGCTTCACAGAAATGAAAAGAGAGGGGCTTTTAGCTCCATTTTACAGATGAGGGAACTGAGACACAGGGAGGTTATGTAACTTGCCAAAAGTCACACAACTAGTACGCGGCAGATCTGTATTTGAATACGGGGGTCTGCCTCTCAGTCCCTCTACTCCTCTGCTATGTGTCCTCTTATAAATATACACATATTGACTATATATGCTCCAAACCTTTTTTTTTTAATTAGTAGGGGCATATGATCAGCTAGGTGTGGATGATCTCAAAGATGCTCTATAGGACTGGCAGTCTACATTAACCGCCTGCCTGGGCACATACCTGTTCTGTGGGACTCTGGCCTTATGAAGACTAACAGTTCCTCCAGGTCCTGATATGTTTTCTTTTTCCCACAGCCCACCCTGAGAGAGCCGCCCTGCTGTTCGTGTCCAGTGTCTGCATCGGTCTGGCACTCACGTTGTGTGCCTTGGTCTTCAGAGTGTCCTGCACCAAGGACTTCCGGGAGCTGCAGCTGGCGAGGGAGCACCTGGTGCCAGGAAGTGACAAGGCCGAGGAGGACAGCCAGGATGAAGACGGGGAGGAGGACTCCTCTGACTCTGATTTTCCAGGGGAACGGTCAGGATTCTGTAGGACTACATATCCTGTTTACAGTTCTATAGAGGCTGCAGAGCTGGCAGAACGGATTGAGCGCAGGGAGCAAATCATCCAGGAAATATGGATGAACAGTGGTTTGGACACTTCACTCCCAAGAAACATGAGCCAATTCTACTGAAAACTAGATGCATCTTGATGCTACCACACTTCCTGAAGAGGGAAGGAGATCCAAAATGCCCCTCCGGTTCTGTCTCACTTGTACCTTCTATGAAGGAGAATTTGTCATGTCATCCAATACTGGGGAAGCCAGAAAGCTCTTAAAGGGACATTTCAAACTGTTTACAGCACATTTCAAAATAAATTAGGAGGGAAGAAGTCTTTGTTTTCTGGATTTATTTAAATTCATGTCTATGGGCTAACAAAATTAGAGTTCACATTTATTGAGCACTTAGAAGACCAGGCACCGTTCTAACTGCTTTCATGTATTAAGTCATTGAATGCTCAGGACGGCTTTGTGATATAGTGCTGTCATTCTCATTTTACAGATGAGTAAACAGGAGATCCTTATCTATCCATAAAAGAATTATACTAATATTCAGGATGGCAAGTATGAGTTCAGTCACTACGTGTTCACTGGTGGTAGATTTTAATCACTAACATAATTTGTTTAGAGAAGGGGTTGGCAAAAAAAATTTTAAGGGAAAGATAATAAATATTTCAGGCATTGCAAGTCATATAACCTCTGCCAGAACTACTCACCTCTGCCACTGTAGCTCAGAAGCAGCCACTACTTTGTAATGAATGAACATGGCTGTGTTTCAATAAAACTTTATTTATGGAAACTGTAATTTGAAATTGTTTCACATTCATAAGAATGTCGCATATTCCTCTCTTTTTTAAATCAATTATTTAAAAATGTAAAAGCCATTCTTAGCTCATGGTCTGTACAAAGATAGTTAGTAGGCTGGATTTGGCCTGCCACTTGATTTTGTAAATATAGTGTGGTTTTGCAAAGCCTAAAATATTTACTCTCTTGACCTGTACAGAAAAAGCTTGCTGACTCCTGGCTTAGGGTTTAAAACTGCAGAGCTTCTAGTGGTAAAACCAATCAACCAGATTCCCCAGCAGTCCTGTGGGCAAACAGAAAGTGGAGTTACTTTTCAAATTATTGCCAAAAAAAAAAAGTGTCCTACCATATTAGAAGGAGGGGTCCATGAAGGAGCAGAAGAAAAAGGAGTTAAGGAAACAGATTCCTGGTGGGAGAACTGGTGATGGTTTCCTTTAAAAGGCTCCCCCTGGTGGACAGGAGGTTTATAATTATGACGGACAATAAGATTTTTTTTCTGTCTTGTCCCAGTGGGGCTTAAAGCATAAAAATGATGGTGTTATATCTATCTCATATGCCTACTCTCAACGAGGTCTCTCTGCTTTATCACATCAACCTTTGCAAGCCAGGCATATGTAAATGAGGAAACTGAAGGCTGACAGATGAAGTATTGGGGCCAAGTTACATGGTGCACAGTGCTGGAGCCAACACAGTCACCAGGTGATCAGGAAATACTAGCTGTTCCCTCAGGAACCCGAGAGATAACACTTACAACAGAAGGCATTTCTTTCAGTTCCCAGATCCTGGGGGTGAAGGGCCCATACGAGGAACAGAGAGGAGGGTGGGTGTAGAGGAAGCAGTCTGTCTCTTGTCAACCAGCCCTGCTGCCCAGATTGGGGAAGGGCTGCAGTTTTGTTTGTTTTTTGTGAATTCAGTGTGTCTTAGTTCATTTGAGCTGCTATAACAAAAATACCATAGACAGAAATTTATTTCTTACAGTTTTGGAGGCTAGGAAGTCCAAGATCAAGGGGCCAGCAAATTCAGTATCTGGTGAGAGCCTGGATTCCTGGTTCATAGTTGGTCATCCCTACATGGCAGAGGGGCCTGGGAGCACTGTGGGGTCTCCTCCTCACCCTTATAAAAGGGTATTAACCTTATCCATGAAGGCTCCACCCTCATGACCTAACCACCTCCCAAAGGCCCCGCCTCCAAATACCATCACACTGAGTGTTAGGGTTTAACATGAGTTTTGGGGAGACACAAATTTTTAATTGACACTAGAGTTGAAATTCACATGAAGCAGAATTAACCATTTAAAGCACATAGTCCAGTGGCTTTTAGTATATTCACAACGTTGTGAGACAACCACTTCTATCTAGTTCCAAAACATTTTCAGCACCAGATAATAAAACCCCCTCCCCATTAAGCAGTCACTGCCCACACCCCTCTCCCTCCAGCCTCTGCCTTCAGTTTCTATGCATTTTCCTATTCTGGTTAGTTTATGTAAGTGGAATCACACATGATGCAGTCTTTTGTGAGTGAATTCTTTCATTTAGCATAATGTCTTCAAGTTCATTCCTGTTGTAGCAGGAATCAGTACTTCCTCTTTTTTTACCATGAATCATATTTCTTTGTGTTGACATGCTGCATTCAGGCATTAATTCATCCATTGGTAGACATCTGGTTGTTTCCACCGTTAGCTATTGTGAATAGTGCCCCTGTAAACATTCATGTGTGGTTTTTTTTTAATTTAGGGGTAGGTTAATTTAGTTTATTTTTATTTTTATTAGGGTTAGTTGGGGTTTTACC